CCCCCACCATCCCCTTCACCTAATCCAGGTGAGCAACTCCCATCCTTCGCATCTCATCCTCCACACGCAACAGGGGAGTCGCAAGAGGGGTCGTCTGCTCTCCCCATCAAATCAGGCTCGCTCGCTTTCTCGCCACCGCGCTTTTCTTCTCGCGCTCTCTCCTTCGTCTTCAACTTCACTCCAGAAGGTCGGGCTCAACACCGTCCATCTGCAACGCGGCCGCATTCGCTTGCTGGCTCCATTCACAGGTCCTCTCAACTTGGCTTGCTTCTCTCTTGGCTGTACGACGCATCGTCCTGGCTCAACGCTTCCATCTCCTCTTCGGTCTCCAGTCTCGTTGCTCGACACCTTGTAAATTGGCTCCTCCTCTAATCCGACCCGCGTCGATCCTTGCATCCTGCACCCCCTCTCCCACCTCTACGCCTATCCACTCGCAAGAGGCAGTTTGCCTTGCCACCCCCCGCCACCATGTCGAGCGCATCGGCTTCCTCGTACAGCAGCGGCACCTCTTCCATCGGCCTCGCAGCCCAGCCGCTCTCCTTGCCCAAGGTCATGCTCCGCAGACTCGCAAGGCAGGCGTCTCAGAACCCCATCGAGGTCATTGTCACCATCTTCATCATCGTCACGCTCGCCTACTTCCAGCTCCTCCATGCGGTCACACATTCCAACTTCTTCGAGCCCATCTCGATCGAGGCCACCAGCCTCGCTTCCAGCTCCCCCTCCTCTGGTCTCTTCAAGTGGGCCGGCGCAGGCAAAAAGGACGCCAAGTCCAAGTCGTCTCCTCTCAGCCCCGCCGTGTCCAGCCATGTCGACACCGTCTTTGTCCGCAAGGCTGGCGACGCCAACCTCTGGCAGCCGCTCAGCCACCTCGCTCAGAAGCGCGCACAGCAAGGCCTCGACGACACCACCGCCCTCTTCGATCCTTCTTCGCCTACCTTCTTCGTCGAGCCCGTCGTTGTGACCAGCGCCAGGGAATCCTACATGTCCGCTCAGATCGAACAGGCCATCCTCCCCACGCTCTCGGCCAACCTCGCCCACAGCCTCGTTGGCCAAGACGTCACCCCGAACCTCGTTTCCGACAAGGACTCGCAGCATTCCGCCTTCGTCTTTGGCAGCACCTTCGCTGATCCCGCCGCCTCCACCAACGGCGCCGCCGACCAGACTCTGCGCAACGACTTCCTCGCCAAGGTCGTCGACCCCTCGCTGCTCTCCAACTCGCTCGCATCCGCCATCAAGTCCGTGCCCCGCCCAGCCGGTGCCGTAGCCAAGGCTTCCGTCGCCGAGATCGACGACCTCTATGACGGCCTCCGCGTCGTCCCGCTCGTGCCCGACGGCGAGTTCAACCCCTACGCTCCCAACAACCTCAAGGGCAAGCGTGCCGCCGGCAACGCAGAAGAGATCCAGCGCATCCGTTGGATGGCCTACGCCGTCAAGGCGCTCGTCGTCCGCTTCTGGGCTCTCCTCAAGAAGGCAGACTCGGCCGACATCTTCGTCATGCTCTCGGCCTACATCCTCATGCACGGCACCTTTGTCAACCTCTTCCTCTCCATGCGCAAGTTTGGCAGCAACTTTTGGCTCGGCGCTTCCGTCCTCATGTCCTCCATCCTCGCCTTCCTTCTCGCCATCACCTTTGCCTACCTCCTCGGCGTCACCGTCGATCCCATCTGCCTCTCCGAGGCGCTCCCCTTCCTGGTCATCCTCGTCGGCTTCGAGAAACCCTACCTGCTCACCCGCGCCATCTTCACCCACCCCGACATCACCCCCTCCGCCAACGCTCTCACCTCCAAGGAGCGCTCCGAGCTCATCCTCAGCAACCTCGACCACGCCTCCAAGCCCGACATCGGCACGCTCGGCAAGACCCCCACCGCAGCCACCAACGGCGCTGCCGCCGTCTCCCGCGAGGAGTCCTTCGTGCGCGCCCTCACCGAGCGTCTCAAGAACGAGGACAGCCTGCGCTGGGCCGAACCCACCCCGACGCCCGCGCACGAGATCGTCGTCTCCGCCGTCAACCGCGTCGGCGTGCCCATCATCCGCGACTACCTCATCGAGATCGCCGTCATGGCCGTCGGCGCCACCAGCGGCGTCAGCGGCCTTCGCGAGTTCTGTCAGCTCGCCGCACTCATCCTGCTCTTCGACTGCATCTTCCTCTTTGCCTTCTACGTCTCCATCCTCACCATCATGGTCGAGGTGCACCGCATCAAGGTCAAGCGCGGCCTCCGCAAGCCCAAGCTCAGCGCCGACCTCAGCCTCGACTCGGACTCGCCTCCCACCAGCCCGCTCTCCGACAGCTCTGCCTCCCGCGAGCCCAGCCCCACGCCTTCCCAGCGTCCGCTCTGGCAAAAGATCTTCAAGACCGTCTTCGGCTACGCTCCCTCAGAGAAGCGTCGCAAGTCGGAGAATCCGCTCGGCCGCCTCAAGATCCTCCTCGTCACTTGCTTCCTTGTGATGCACTCGTTCAACCTCATCTCGACGCTCACCAGGCAGTCTGCCATCAGCCGTCACCATGCCACCTTCGAGCCCTCGCCCTACCAGGTTGTCGTAGAGCAGTCGCCCATCTTTGGTCCCGCCGCCTCGTCGTCCATCGCGCCTCTTCTTGCCCAGCTTTCCCTGTCTCATCCCGCCAACGTCGACCTGGTTGCGCACATCTCGGAGCCCACCATCCTTGTGCTGCTCGAGGCCAACGAGTCCGTCTCGGCGTCGCGCAGCCCGCTCGCCAGCGCGGCTCTCAACGCATCCGGTGTCTATGCCCAGATCACCTCGGCGGGCGTACGTCCAGTTCCGGTCGGTCGAAGCAGCTCGTCGCTCGCTGTCCTGGACAGCCTCATGAGCGGCTGGACCGTCATTGTCGGTGACCCTGTTATCAGCAAGTGGATGTCGCTCGCTCTTGGTATCAGTATCTTCCTCAACGCCTACCTGCTCAAGGGCATCGCCACGGGCAACGCCGCCCTTTCCGAGGGCAACGCGGCCGGTGCCGCCGCCTACGCCGCCGCTCGTTTCATCGGCGCTCATCTGGACAGCGAGGCCAAGGCCATCGAAGAGCATGGCGAGCGCGTGCGACGTCGATGGAGCTCGCGCGAGAACGGCAAGCCAGTCGCTCCCGTGCGTGGCAAGAGCGCAGACGGCCTCAACGACTACCACCAGCGCCTCGCCCAGATGTCCGCCACTGCCGCCTCGGGTCCGCTCAACAAGCTCGCGCGCGAGAGCGACAAGGTCACTGCCTCGTCGCAGTCGGCTCCGGGTGTCAACGCCGTTCCTGCCGAGGCGATCAAGCCCGATGCCATGGATGCCGTCACGAAGTCGAACGTCGCGCCCAGCTCCGAAGGCCAAGGCGCCGTTGCCGCGCTAGAGGATCGAGCACAGCAAATCCGTTTGCAGGACGCTACTTATGTTGCACCCAACGGTGAGACAGTCGTGCGACCTCTGGAGGAACTTGTCGACATCTACGCGGGCGGCGCTGGCGTCTTCTTCCTCAC